TCCAACTTCCTAAGTTAACAGATACAGCTTTAGTACCTCTGCTGCTGCTCAGAGATTTGCCAGGCTATAGCAGAAGGAACACCGACAAGTCCTATCAATTTTCATTCCTTGTACTCAGAATTCCATCTGCAGCAGAACAACTGGGAAGAATCATGTCAGATTCAATGTGTCGCTACTGTCCAGAGTAGTCAAAAGCAGCTCGAGAGGCAAACCTGGATCTGTTTCAAAAGGGGAGGGGAAAAAAAAAAAGTTAGTTTAGCAGGCACATATTCCTGGACACCAGCTTTTTGGGGGAGGGGGTAGAGAAACAGCTTCTGCTCTTCAGAAAAATACTCCGTATGTACTTCTGTTTAAAACAACAAAACAAAACACTGACAACATAGATGTTTTCATTACACACAAACATTTTTCTGGAGGTCTAAAAGTTAATGTGTTTTTTTTCTGCTCTATACTAGCCAATAGCTTCTCCGAATAATAACATTTGCTGACTTTTCTTGCAGCATTTAGAAGGCTGTCCATTCTTGCTGTATCTGCTCATAACTACATTCACTGTAGAGTATTGTGCATATAACAGTCTTCCTTGCATTTTTCTCACCTCTTTTAAACAAATGCATGGAAGTATCATTGCCTCTCTTCCCTCAGCCTGTCTTTTCCTCACAGTTTATTGCCCCTCACTCACTTCATTGTATCTAAAAATAGAAGTTGTCCCCAGCTCAGAGAGCTGCTTATCTATCTATAAAATACTTAACGCACTTGGGGATGTACATAAACTGCTATTCCACGGCTATTTTATCCACACTTGTATATTTATGGTTAGAAGAATTAGTTATCTCCGAGAGGATACTGCGGGTGGAGCAGAGAATTTCATGTCAAGGACAACAGGCATCTTCTACCAAACCTGTTATCTCCTTCCCAACCCCTTCCTCAATGAAGATTTTTCAACTATTCTGATGTGTTATGTTCCTATTATTATCAGGGTAAGTACTGCTGGGAACCAACTCAAAGGATGTAATTATTTGCAAAACTCATACCAATAACTAGGTAAGAAAATTAAAGCAATTTTAGAAAATAACCTATTTCTTGAAGTATGTATTCATAAAAGACAGACATGCCGCGACTAACAGCATATATGCAGTAAAATCTAAAAGCCAGCTTTAAATAGTTCTCAGAATAGCAACAGAAGAGTCTGTCGCATGCATGGATTGCCAGTGGTCAAATATAGATTGCTTTTTTTAACCCCTAGTCTTCGGTAAACTTCAGAGAAGAAATATGACATAAACTCTCTATTAACAGTTCTTTCCCCATTTCCGTCAACAAGTTTAATCTGCAACTCATAGATAAAGCCGGAAGAGTTCCACAGCGGTGCCCCAAACTGCCTTCACTTTCAATATAGCACCCTCTCCAACGATGCATTTTGATCTGAGTCATACAGATGGCCCACTGCTTTATGTGCCTCTGCAGGCCATCCTCCAATATTAAAGATGCTTAATCTGTAGTGGCTCTCATGGGAATTAGGTATGCCTCTTATTTTCTCCCAGATTACACATATGAATCTGACAAGTCTGGTCACTCCTGTTTTATATTTAGGAAAGTGCTATCAGAAATTGATGAAATGTTCTTTAGCTGGGGCATCTAGCTGAGCTTTATTAAGCCTATGAAACCTCCTAGCAGGCTGCTTTAGAGAAAGTCTAGTCCCCTTATTTTCTATGGTTTACGGTCGAGTTTAACAAGTCCCTGACTCCCTTCATAGCCTGAATTAGATACAGCTGCCTCTTTTTGTACTTAACTCCTGCTAGTATGGGGAATGAGAACAGAGTCAAACTTAACTCTCCTGTGTGGCAACACGCAACGCTGCACTAAGTCACATTGTAAATGTTGAAGAGATAAAGCCAGACTTCAGTACCTTTATTCTATTTATAAAAGAATGGAGCCAAGTTATGTTCCCAAGTAGCATTTACAACAAGGAAAGACTTCCCTTTAATACTGCCCTCAGTAATTAATGTCAGTTCTATGGCAGCACAGGCAGGATGCACAAGGATGACTGGTGTCAGTTCCACCCCCAGATGGTATTTTTACCATGCTATTGATTAGTATTGCTTGGCACAGATGTAACAGGCACTGTGTGCAAAACTACTAACTGACAGTGGCTTGCACACACTGGCGCTCCCAACCTTGCTAATGCAAGTCCTAGCACAACTGTCCCATGCATAAGCCCAATGCAACTTCACTGAAGTCAAATAATTAAGTTATTCCAATATAACCAAGAGTAGTATCTGACTCTTCCAGTAACAGAAAAGGTACAAACATGTAACAAATTAATTCTTGTATCAAATATGTAAGTTAATCCTGCTTCGAGCCTACTTCTAGAAAGCTTTTTCTAGTTATGTTTACATTAACTGATTTTTAAAAAAAATAAGCATACTGCAAAACACTAAATACAGAATTGGTATGGCAAGTTCAACTCGCCCAGCAGCCACCAGAGAACAGGGTAACAGCATGTAAGCCACACAGCGGAGCCGCACAATAAGGGAAAACTGGTTAGCAAGAAGCAATGCACACCTGCTCTAAATACGGCTGGAGCCAATACCTGGTGTATTATTTAAGCAGACTTAGGTGTGCCATTTGTCCAATGTTTAAATTAATTGAAATACATGGTGCTGGAGCCATTCCCTAGCAACCAACCCAATTAAAACACTTTGCCAGTTAAATGGATTCAGCGGTGCTGCTGTTCTTTTAACTCTTGAGTCACTCCGATACATCCAGGTTTGGTTATGAGTATATTATACTCCTTTTCCACTGAAGCTGTTACCCATCATTTGAAACTATTATATTTTGTCTGTAAGAGATAAACACATTTTTATATGTGGATTGGGAAGAATCTTGTTTGCAATCAAAGAAGGTTCTCAGGGGAAGGCTGGTATCAACATTACTCCTGTAATCTAACAACATGCTGTGTTTTCTTATAGCTTTATACTTTCTGATTTTTTTTTACCCAGGCAGTAGAAAATCTAGGAAAAAGTACAAAATCAAACGCCCAGTGCTAAATGTGACTCTCGAATATTACAGTTGTGCTGATTTACCTACACAAACTATGGCTAAAGTATTTTTATCTGCAAGTATCTACAATTTCTTCAGAAGTCAGGAATGGCGCTTCCCGACTTTATTAGAGCACTGAATTACTATTCAGACATGTTCTTCTGACTCACTTTCCTTATGCTGGTGAACTTTATACCAAAGCTAAATATTTACCACAGGGAAGCTTACTTGCATTAGAGAATCTTTTCCTATTCTGTAACTCTATTTTAAATAAAATTGAATTATAAATTAGT